TGGCGGCTGTAAAAAGTCTCCCCGTACATTTAATCAATGATGTTATATTTTCGATCCTTGAAGATCGTTCAGCACGACATTATTGTTGTGCTTGTGGTATTTTTAGTTTCAATTTTTCGGCATTTTCTAGTTGGGTGGTTCCAATATTCCTACTTGAATAATGTTGAATCACCCTTAGGATATGTTGCCTGCTTTTTAAATTTGTCTTTTGACGTCTTATCTGTGATACGCAGGCTTCATAACCTCTGATCCCCTTTCAAAATTCCATTTTATTTAGTTCCGCCCATTGTTTTCTCGTTTAGGGCACACGCTTTTTATTACTTGGGGACCATACGCCGCTTTTCATGGAATGGCACGGAAGTGTCACATTGAAGGTTCCATGATAACCGCCGTATGAACACATCTGCGGATGTTTCTAAATTCAAAATTTTACCATTTCATGTTTAAATGTTGAATTCTGCTTAAGCCGGTGCTAGGGGGCGTGGACGGTAACTTGCACTTTCCAGTACCGTCCATGAACAGGCTCAATCAAACCGAGCCTGCAACATTTTCAATTTTGCCGTGTTGGGCTTTCTTTAGGGATTCTGTTTTTATCTATTTCAGTAAACAGTTGTAGACTTTTTAGTTCAAGAGCATGAATCGCCGCCATTTTTCTTCAACCATCTTCATGTCGGCTATGGTGTGTGGTTAGATATGTGCCATGTTGACAAATGATGAACATTGATGGTTGGAGGCTCTTTATATAGGCATGGGATCGGATTGACCTCTTTAACATTTACCATGATATCAAATAGCGATAACCAATCATGACAAAGAAGACATAGAGTAATTGACCAATCAAATGATAGCTTTGGTATATATTCCTTATAAAAAAAACTATATACAAGTCGAAATATTATGTGTCGAATTTTTCGATGTGTCGAACTTTTTAGAGCTCCGTCTAGAATAAATCATGTACAATTTACCACAAATAACTCAAAGTCCTTTGACAACTTCGATCTCGAGACTTTTTTTACACGTTTTCTAGCCGCGAAGGTGATTTCCGATCAACTTGTATGACAGGTGTTAATTACATAGCCTTGTGTTCTAACAGCTTTGTTTGCGTTTAAATGTGTGATAAAGTGCTTTAATTGTTACCATTCAAATTGCTGTAGTGGTATTTGAAAGTAAATAATAAGAACTACTGTAATTTGAGAACTTCCATGACCCAGTGTCGCGTAATAATCACACGGGGATATATTTACTTTAAGCTGGGTTAATTTTCTCCTTTTCGTTTTGTTACGCCTTTTGTAACTTGTTTGTATACATAAAACGGCTCGAAATTTTGTCATCAAATTGAGACCTATTCATGAGTCGAAGTCCCGATGTATCGAAGTCCCTTTAACTTCGACTTACCGAAGTTCTACTGTAGATAATTTTTCTGGAAGAAATAGTATGGCCCCTAAAAGGGCCGTTAATCATTGAATGGAAAAACAACGCTCAGTTCTAATTTCATCATCTTTGTATGAGATCCAAGTCCAACATCCGTTTGTCCTTTCTCCTATGATATACTGGAGTCATCGATCTTTTGAATTCCACTGGGACTACAACGGTATCATTTTCAAATGAACTTCAGCTGGAATGTCCGTTCACGCAGTGTATTTTCTAAATTGGTCATATTGAGTGCATTGTTCGCAATTCTTGAATAAAATTTTGAAAAAGTGTCACAATTTCGACCCGGGATTTGCTTAAAGTGCAACAATGAAGCAGTTTCAAACAGAAGCTTGATTCTTTTCAAAATTATCATGCGAAATATTATAATTAATTCAAGTTAGGCAGCAATCCCTGGATTTGTACACAGGGCATTACATCACTCATTCGCTACGACACAATTGATTCTACCAATTAAGGTATACCATGGCTAATGGGCACTTTAAGGAACTGTAAAATTGACAACAAAAAACAGTTATATGCCTTAAAGGTCACCTGTATGCAAAGGTTTATTGGTTGATCATGCGAAATATAAAATACTTTTACCGTGTAGTTTTTATTTTATTAAACTTTGAAGATATCTTGTATCATATTTGCTAATTAAATGTGGCATTATTCAGCAAATAAATTTCTACAATAGTAGGTAACTCAATCGAGCAATAACCTAAACAAGCACCCTGACAAGTTTCATGACAGGTGAGTCAAAAATGTGACCCCTATAGTGTTAACAAGGATTTTCAATATTTGAGCAGTGTGGCCTAGTTTTTGACCCTAGGTTACTCATATTCAAACTTGACCTAGAAATTATCAAAACAAACTTTCATTCAATTTCCGGGATATTTCGATCAAAACAGTAGCCACTAGTGTTAACAATATTTTTTCTATTTTCAGCTCCTGTAACTTAGTTTTTCATCCGAGATGACCCATGTTCAAACAAATCTAAGCAATTACGTAGATGAGCATCCTGACCAAGTTTGATGACGATTGAATTAAAAATGTGACCACTAAAGTATTAACAAGGCTTTTCCATATTTGGGCGGTGTGACCTAGTTTTGACCCCAGTTGACCCATATTCAAACTTGACCTAGAAATCATCAAAACAACTTTTCAGACCAATTTCTAGTGTATTTGGTTGAAAACAGTAATCACTAGAGTGTTAACAATATTTTTTTTTATTTTTAGCTCATATGACCTAGATTTTCATCCGAGATAACCCATGTTCAAACTCATCCTAGTAATTACATAGACAAGCATTCTGACCAAGTTTGATGACAACTGATTTAAAAATGTGACCACTGGAGGGTTAACAAGATTTTATTATTTTTAGCTCTTGTGACCTTGTTTTTCATTCAAGATAACCCATGTTCGAACTGATCCGAACAATTACCTAGATAAGCACTCTGACCAAGTTTGATGACAATTGAATTAAAATGTGACAACTAGAGTGTTAATAAGGTTTATCCATATTTGGGCGGTGTGACCTAGTTTATGACCCCAAGTAACAAATATTCAAACTTTACCTAGAAATTATCAAAACAAACTTTCAGACCATTTTCCGGCATATTTGGATATAAACAGAAACCACTAGTGTTAACAATATATTTTCTGGTTCTAGCTCCTGTGACCTATTTTTTCATCCGAGATGATCCATGTTCGAACTCATCCTAGCAATTACATAGACAAGCATCCTGACCAAGTTTGATGACAATTGAGTCAAAAATGTGACAACTAGAGTGTTAACAAGGTTTTTTTCAATATTCGGGCGTTGGGACCTAGTTTTTTAAACCCAGGCGACCAATATTCGAACTGAACATAGAAATCATCAACACAAAATTTCAGACCAATTTCCAGGATATTTGGATCAAAACAGTAGCGACTAGAGTGTTAACAAGATTTTACTATTTTTAATCACAATATTATGATGAATGTCTTTCTTGTTTTTCTCATCTACGGTAACAACGGACGACGGACATTCAACGATCCTAAAAGCTCATCCTTTTTAATCGCAATCTAAATTAAATACCAAATTCTAAAGCGATTTATTTTTTTTCGGTTGTGATTTACAAACTTAATAAGATTTTGAATCATGTTTATTCTTCTGCTGTCTTTACTTAAAGAAATGAATGTTTTATCAAAACAGGTTATGACCTCACTATTTGTAGGCATGTTCTATGCTTAGTGCCTTAGTTTTGATCACATATTGCGGTCCAAGATTGAGACTCTATGATGGACAGTTTTTTAAACTAATCGGGACTGAATTGTCTTAACTTTTGTCTTCTGCCTTGCTACGTCGATCCCTTGTAGGTGATAATGTTGTTGCTCTGTCTTCTCTTAAGACATTGATTACTTTTGCTATGGTCATTTGGTTTACTTTCTACATATGTATACATGATCATTTCTATGATTAATTTATTACTATTTCGTAACCTTAACAATTGTTCGAATTTCACTTGGCGGTAATTCATTTTATTTACATAGTCTAGTTTAATAGGAACATGTTGGGACCTTTAACCGGCTAAATTCCCTAGCAGTGCTTATGCTGCTGACCTTACCAAGCGGTGCCCCTCTGCGTTTATCAATTGAATGTCTCTCTTGCTTTTCTCAACTACGGTGAGTATCATCCCTTTTACTCTTAGATTTTTTATTTCAATTTTGCCCCCCCCCCCTCTTCTGGTCCCTCCCCCTACACCCATATTCATTTGTAGGTCATGAAATTAATTTTCTTTTTCAACTACCTTGTAGGTTTCTATGATTTCTTATTTTGAATAATTTATAATCACATCCCGTCCCAGGCTTGTGTGTGCGCTGTCCTGTTTGGTGTCATGCTTGGCTCCATGTAGGTGGTCCTGTGTTGGGGGATACGTTCATTGAATGCTAACCTTTTTTGTTGATCTTCCTATTCATATTTTATTATGTAAAACACTTTAATTAAATACCTATAAGTTCTGTATAAATATTTCTGTACTTTGGACAGAACTCGCATGCGACACGAGATGATTAGTATTTCTCCAAGTTATCTAAACATTCGAAATGAATGACAATCTAATTGTTATGTTGTATGGATGATAACAAGATTCAAACTATTCTACAATTTATTATAACCATTTAATACATGTTGTTAAGACCAGAGCTCAAGTGAGAATGACTCGGGTATCAGAGAGGCATGATCATATATATAACATAGCATTAATGAATATCAAGTAAAGGGAAGTAATCCCATTAACTATACAACTAAACATGTAAAGAGTTATCTAATCTTGATATCATAACATCTCCCTTTGTTTGAAATTGAGAAGCTCATAAACATTTGTCCGCTATAAATGTCAATTTATTCTGAGAAAGCATTAAGCAATAAAATAATGTCCATGTCAAGACTGACATCAATTAATCAATTTGAGATAAACACATTTAATTATTATGATAAATTTGTCCAAGATAATGCTTTCGTATTGTCAATATTATCTTTGTAAATTTTCTGTTAACACTACTGCAATTTATGCCTATTTGTTCAATGTGTATATACACTTATTTTACACCGACTGAATTATCTTTGGTTTAACCTGCCTCCCAGAACGAGTTACATAAGCTTCTGGATAAATGTTTGGCAGTTTGAGAGTATTTGTTGATGCAGGCGACTTTGAGTGATTAAAGGTCAGATTATCACTCTTGACACTGGCATGCTGTGAGGTTAACTGGTGTGAAAGTTTACCCTGGGAATCTGCTGTGTCTTGATTACTACAAATGGCCTGTGTAAATTGATTGTTATCAGTGTTTAATGGAGGGTCATTATCTTGGCAGGTATAATCCTTCATTAGATGTTGCCTGTTTCTGATATATTGACCACCATCAGGTGTTTCTACAGAATAGGAGCGATTGTCTAATTTTTCTTGAATGACAGCGGGATTCCAAGATTTTCCCTGCTGAATTCTAACATTTTCTCCTATGTTAAATGGTTTAAGGGGTCTTGAATGTTTATCATAATTTTTCTTTTGAATACATTTTTGTTTTTCAAGAAGTGACCTTATTCTCTTAAAATCTGTTGTTTTGGGTGTTAAATTCTTTTCAGACATAGGTATAAATGTCCTTATTTTTCTCCCCATTAAGATTTCAGTGGGAGAATAACCTAATGCTTAGCGGGGTAGCACGTAATTCTAAAATTGCTATCAAAGGGTCTGTCCCATCTTGCTTGCATTTTTTGAGCAATGTTTTTACTTTCTTCACGCATGATTCACTAAGGCCATTACTTTGGGGATATTGAGGTGATGACCTTACATGCTTTATGTCCCATTTAGTTGTGAATTCTTTAAATTCTTGTGATGTGTAATAACTAGCACCATCTGAAACTATTTTCTGGGGAATACCATGTCTTGAAAACCAAGTTCTCATTAACTTAATAATAGTGCTACTGTTTGTATTTTTAATCATGTCAACTTCAAAATAGTTGCTCATGTAGTCGCATACTAACAAGTAGTCTTGGTTATCTAATGTAAATACATCAGTACCTATTACCTGCCATGGGTATTTAGGGATTTCATGTGAAACCAAGGGTTCCTTTGAATTTGACCTTTGATGCTCTGCACATACAGAACACTGTTGCACTTTCTGCACTATGTCTTTGCTAATGTTAGGCCAAAACATAGAAATTTGTGCCCTGCGGAAGCTACGTTCCTGACCTGGGTGACCTTTATGTAGCAAATTTAACATTTCAGATCTTAGACACTTAGGAATAATCAATCTTTGACCTTTGTAGATGATATTATCTACAACAGTGAGTTCATCTCTATAATTCCAGTATTCTAGAACTTGAGAATTGCAATCTTTGCGTTTTTCAGGCCAGCCTTGAAGAATGATTTGTTTCAAGGTAATGAGTGTTGGATCTGACTCAGTTTTTGACCTTACTTCACTAAGTTTTTGATCTGTGTATGGCAAGTTTTTTGTTATGAAGTGAACATGCATATTGGTATTTTCGGAAATTTCTGGATAAGTATCTGGCAAATATTTCCGAGACAATGTGTCAGCAACGGGTATTTGAGTGCCTGCTTTGTGCTGCAACTCAAAATCATAACCATGTAACGCTAATAAGAGCCTTTGTAATCTTGCCGGGGCACTGTATAGGGATTTCTTAACAACGCTGATCAAGGGTAAGTGATCGGTTTCTACAGTTATGTGCCTACCGTAGATATATTGTCTGTAAGCCTTCTAAGCACTCATCCATCTTTTGCTGGAAGAGATCTTGGCTGCATTTCAGTCCCATGGGACATCTTAGATACCTATAACGACCTTGAGGGGTGTTGAATGTAGTTAGATATGATGATTTATCATCTAAAACAACGGACCAGTAACCTGATTTGCAGTCAAGTTTTGTGAAATATTTTGCAGAATTTAACTGCGGCAAAATATCATCTAAGGTTTTTGTAGGATAATGTGGCCTATGGATTGCCTTATTAAGGTCTTTAGGGTCAATTACAATTCTAACTTTATCAGAATGTGGCTTGTTGACTACGACCATACTATTCACCCAATTTGTTGGTGTGGTGACCTTGGCTATGATTCCAGCCTTTTCCATAGCATCAAGTTCCTTTTTAACCTTGCTCTGAAGAGCTACAGGAACGCGTCGGGGAGGATGAATTACTGGGGAATACTTGGGATCTACTTTGATCGAACAAGCACCAGGTAATTTTCCAAAGCCATGAAAAACTTCAGGAAAGTCACGCAAGACAGAATTTTTATTCATTTGCTCATTCTGGTCTACGGACATTACAATCTGAATTAAATTGAAGTCAAGGCATGATTGTAAACCTAGGATTGAGGGTTTGTTTGTTCTCACAACATAAAATTCTACAAGTTTTGTGCATTTCTTCTTGTAGCTGCATGAGAGATCTACTACTCCTAGAACCTTAATTTCAGTGCCTGAGTAAGCAGTGAGTTTGACAGTTGGCTTCTTTAAGGGGGTATTGACCTTGAGGGATTTGAAATCTGCCTCAGAAAGGATGTTACAGCATGCCCCTGTGTCAAGTTTAAACTGTTTAAAATGACCTTTAGAGCCCACCTGTAAATCAACAAATACCTGTCCCTTTGAATGTGAATCAACTGCACCAATACAAAATTCACTGTCACTGTTACTGTCACTGTTATTGTTTCCGGTTTCAATTTCATGCACTTTTTTGTTTGACCTACACACAACTGCATAGTGATTCCATTTATGGCAGTTCTTGCATAGTTTTCCTCTTGCCGGACATCGATCTTTGCTGTGATGTGACTGTCCACAATTTCCACATTTTGTTATATGTTGGTTTTGTCTAACTCTTGAATGGTGATTGTGTTTCTTTCCAGTCTCGTTTTGGTGTTTTGACGTGGAATGTCGTTTATGATGAATGTCATCAATGCTATTGGAATTAGTCATATCACGTAATTGTGCCTGTGCATATTCATGTGACTGTGATATCCTGACTGCTTTTTCGAGAGTCAATGCTTCACCTTCTGTGATAAGTTTTTCACGAACTTTTTCCGACGTAATTCCAATTACTATTTGATCTCGTATTACATCATCTCTGTACCCTGCATCAAAAGCGCAATCATTTGCTAATGTTTTTAGACGTGTGATGAATTGTTCTATCGTACTGTTTCCCTGTTTTTCATTGTGGAATTTGTATCTGCTAAATACAGGATTTGATTTTGGTTGTAGATGTTTTTGAATTGCATCCGAAATTGCCTTTATTGATTTTCTTTGGAGCTCAGTTAATGTAAGAGTATTATATATCTGGCGGCCTCTGTCACCAATCCAAAGTAATAAGTAAGTAACTTGTACTTCTTCTTCTTTTTTTCTTAACGCGCCACTAAATATAAGTTCTGCATGCTGCCTGAACTTTTTGAACTCCTCCATAGGGTTCTGACTGTCCCAGTTCATTGTTGGTATGGGTACACCATTTGAATCCATTATAGAGCTGTAGAATTAATTTATTCCTCTGAAGAAAGTTAAATGTTTGTGATGCGCACAATTTAATTTCTTTCCAGAATGCTTGTTAAATCCGATTCTAAATAATTTTTAATTAAATTCCTTTTATTACAATAGTGTTCCTTTAGTTTACTTCTGACACCATGTTATGTTGTATGGATGATAACAAGATTCAAACTATTCTACTATTTTATTATAACCATTTAATACATGTTGTTAAGACCAGAGCTCAAGTGAGAATGACTCAGGTATCAGAGAGGCATGATCATATATATAACATAGCATTAATGAATATCAAGTAAAGGGAAGTAATCCCATTAACTATACAACTAAACATGTAAAGAGTTATCTAATCTTGATATCATAACACTAATACACTATTAACTGACCACTCGGACGAACATCTACTGAAACTAATTTGATAGAATACGACACAAATATGAATACGGGCATGTAAATGTACACGTCTTGGTATCCAGAATCACAAATTGTATCCTCCCCTGAAAGATTGGTGTGGTTAACTTCAATAATGCCGAGTCTTTGACAATAGTTTCTTATATACCTCTTTTTGGTGATGACCAAAAATAAATGATCCAAAACTTTACTTAAAATAATCTTCTTAAAAAACGTCCTTTGCTCATCTGTAGAGGATCATTGACTGATAACTTAAAGTTGGAAGGATCTTACAATGAAAAACTTGAAATACTAAAATTATACATACTTCTTCATATGCAGTACATTTCAGATTTATGTATCTAATATTTGTCATTTTAATGGTACATTAAATGTTATCTCATCAAATATGTTTTAATGAATTATCAATAAAAGGACTGAGCTTGAAATAAATTATTAATTCATTTGATATGGCGAATGAGTTATTTATTACGTTATCGGAACAACATAATTAAGTAGTATCGTATACAAGAAATGCATCTTAGGCATATTCACATGAAGATTTGCATTTTGAAAAGAAAACACAAAAGAAAACAACAGAACAACTTAATGTTATATTTTTCAAACAAATTTAAAAAGTTTCTATAAGGGTAAACTATAAATATCCTAAAATTATGAATATATGACATGTATTCTTATTAAACATTAAAAATCAAGAAATTGCATATCAAAAACTCAGACACAACTCCTTTTTACATACATAACTCTCTGATGAATCAATTTGATTAAAAACGAACCCTACAGCCACAACCCCACCCCCAAAAAACTGTTTATCCCAATCAAGTCACATCAACTTTAAACCTTTTAAGTAAGTATGACGTCCAAATGTTAAGATTCTATTTTCATTACACGTGCCATCAAGCTAACTCAACTCTACACGCATTCTACGTGTAATGGCATGTGGCTTAGAAATAAAAGCGTTAATCAATTTGCATCGCCTGGGAATTGGTTACAATAAAGGTTCATTTGGACATGGTACCGGTATTTACATACAAAGGGAAACAGCCATAAACAATATATTAAAAAAGATACATAAAGGTATTATGACGGGAGTTAATTTTGACATAAGAAGATACAAAAAATAATGATTCTTAACAGCGTCACATAGTATTTAGAGTTGTTAACTATTAAACTTTATTCAGTGTTCCTTTTTTATTTTGTACCGTAAAATCGTGTCCGAGAAAGGGCTTAATACTTTAAAGTACTATTTTCACTACACGGATACCTCTTGTATCAATACAGATGTGTCTTACTGTTTTATATTCTTTTCTTTGAAAAACTTAACGGTCTCTGTTCAAAACTTTTTCCAGTTTCTTAACAAATGTAAAACTGATCGAAGCTCTCTTTGTTACTTTCTAACCACTTAAAAAGGCTTCAATCTTAACATGTGATGACTGTAATGATGTTTCTTCTTCTTCTTTTATCGACCATTCTTCATTGTGAGCTCTTGGCCGTTCATTACAATTCTTTGATACATCATCCTCTTGTGAATCTCTTTGCAAAGAGAATACATATTCTATCCTTTTCAATAGACCACCAATAATCTGTTGTTTTGATAATTATGTATCTATGAAACATGTCAAAACTCGGGCGAAATTTGTCCAAAAGCGGCCCTTTGTAAGAACAAACAATATAAACCACTTCTTTTTCAAAGTCATTTTTTTATTCATTTTTCATAATAGCATCTAAAGGCTCAAAAAGACAACTTTTAGGATGAGCTTTTGCATCTGGAATATAAAAAAGCTTGCATCCAAATCGTGTGTGCTTCCAAATGATATTGATCCCATTTTTAAAGTTTTCAGTACTTTCTTGCAACGACAGACCACGTCTAATATAAATACTCTCCCACAAAAATGGAATTGCAAATCTGAACAACAACAAAAACTCAAACAAACACAAACGTTTGGTTTAATACGAGTTCAAGCGAAAAAGTTCTGTCAGTGAACTAGGACTTCTAAAAAAATATATTTTATTAGAAATAATTAAAACCGGTGCAGGGGACGTGAATGTTAAGTTGCACTTAAAATAACCGTCCTTAAACATGCTAAACCAAAAAGAGAAGCAACATTTTTAATTTTGCCTTGCTTGGGTGATATTTCAAAATAAAACAATCTTCATTTACCGAAGCACATTTTTGTAAAATTTATAAACAATCACAAATAGGAGATAATTATTATATTTTTAATAAATGTTCAAAGCACTGATTTTATGCACAATAAAAATAGAGAAAATAAGACTCCCTAAAGAAAGCCCAACGCGGCAAAATTGAAAATGTTGCAGGCTCGGTTTGATTGAGCCTGTTCATGGACGGTACTGTCAAGTGTAAACTACCGTACACGCCCCTAGCATCGGCTTAAGCAGAATTCAACATTTAACATGAATTGGGGCAATTTTGAATTTTGAAACATCCGCAGATGTGTCATATGGCGGTTATCATGGAACCTTCAATGTGACACGTAAATGCCATTCCATGAAAAGCGGCATATGGTCCCCAAGTAAAAGAAAAAAATGCGAGTGCCCTAAACAATAAAATAATGGGCGGAACTAA